GCGAACAGGACCTGTGGTCTCTCTCGCCTCAGATGCTTCCAGAGGCCCGAGTTAGGTCCCTAACTGATAGCAGACGTGGCTTTAGAAACGCTATTGCTTCCTGATGGGAGAGAGGGAGAAAGTGCAGCCAGAAGTTGCCCAGAGGGAAGGAGGGCTGGAGAAGCCATGGGAGGGCCCCCCGCCCCGGCGCTCCGCTCTGCCTCCCAGGGTCGCCTTTGACAAGAGGGATTGGATTTCCAGAAACGAAAGCCAGGAGCTGGGGCTTTTCTTCTTGGTTTTAATTATTCGGAGTCACACCATACCCTTCATGTACCCGACGGGTATAATCCAATTCCTTCCCTCCGTGGATTCAGCTTCTCATGCAATAAAGGGATATCAGCAAGATGCCGACCAACCCAACCCCCAAAGGAAATAACCAGCTCCCAGCACAGCACAGGTCTGTGCCCACTTTCCGTGGACGTCCCGTGCCTGTGACAGATTTCCGTGGTCCCTTTCATAGGCAGTTCCAACAGGAAGGACATGCGAGGAGCAGGTGCTCCTTGTACCCTGTGTTTTGCCAGAAACGGCTTTGGATTCTCAGATTCAATCGTGATGTTTTACATTCAGATCGAGCTAAGAGGGGTCGGGGAGGCCCCCTCCAGGCAGGCGGTGGTGTGGGCCCTGCGGGTGAGGTGGGCCACTGGGGGGGGGGGGCACCCCAGGTGCACGAGCAGAGGGAACCCCAGCAGCCAGGCTCAGACTCAGACTCTTGACTTGGAAAGAAAGTCACACTGAGTCTCACTGTAGATGACCGTGTATCAGTCAGCTCGGGCTGCTGTAACAAAACACCCCAGGCGCTGACCTCAGGAACAGGGTGATGGCCTCCAGGTTCTGGAGGCTGGGGGGCAGGTCCCGGCATCTGCAGGGCTGGGTCCCTCGAGGCTGAGGAACCGGCTGCTCCAGGCCCCTCCCCAGCCTCTGCTGGTCGCTGATAACCTTTGGCTCCTGGGCCTGTAGCAGCATCGCTCCCATCTCTGCCCTCGTCTTCGCACGGCCGCCTCCCTGCGTGCGTGTCTGTGTGTACACGTCCTCTTCGTATAAGGACACAGGTCATGCTGGCATCCTCTTAGCCTGATGGTCTCCTAAGGATGTCATTGTACCCTGACTGTCCCTATAAAGCCCACACTATGTCCAACTGGGTCTCTCTCTAAGGCACAGGGGTTAGGACTCAGCGTGTGAACTGGGGGGGAAGGGGAGTGCACAATGCAACATGTACAACTAGTAGATCCTTTTTGAAAAGGAAGTGGGATGGTTTGTGTGTCGTTTAAAGAATTGAAGAAACACATCTGTGCCCTGGCCGGTGTGGCTCAGTGGATAGAGGGCCAGCCTGCAGACCAAGGGTCCCGGGTTCGATTCCGGTCAAGGGCACATACCTTGGTTGCAGGCTCCTCCTGGCCCAGGCCTGGTTGGGGCTCCTGCAGGAGGCAGCCATTCAATGTGTCTCTCTCATATCGATGTTCTCTCTGTCTTTCCCTCTCTCTCTCACTCGCTCTAAAAATCAATGGAAAAATACCCTCAGACGAGGATTAACAAGAAACACGTATGTGAGGATCAGTCAGTGCTTGCCCCCCTCTCAGAAGGGACAAGGGACCCCGGGATGAACGGGGAGACGTGCGTGGTCCCTTCATCTCCTGCCTTGAGCCTGACGTTAGGATTATACCTGGAAGCGGGGGTGCAGGGGGAGGGGGGCCCCATGTCCCTTCCCCGCTGAGGCCTGTTCTTATCTTTGTCTCCCTGACTAGTATCCAGTGACTTGTCAGTATGACTTCGAGGTCCTCAGGAACCTGGAGCCGTGGACCACCTACTGTGTTCAAGTCCAGGGCTTCCTTCCCGATCGGAACAAAACCGGGCAGTGGAGCGAGCCGGTCTGCGAGGGAACCGTCGGCGACGGTGAGTCTGCGCTCTCCCGCGACATGTCCGAGAGCCGTACACGCGCCGCCGTGCGGGCAGGCGGCCCCTCCACGTCCCCGTGCAGCCCAGGCTCCCCAGGTCCCTGCCTGGTGGGCTCCGTGCTCCTGGGAGCAGGGCGCCCGGCTGGGGCCACAGTCACAGCCAATCCCTCCGAGAGGGAGGCCTGCCCTGGGCTGTCCCTGTGCGGGTCCCAGGGCACTGCCGCTGCATCTGTCACCGGACAACCAGGGTCCGGCTGCCTGTCACTCCCTGAGTCAATTCAGCAGAGATGGGGTTGCATCCTAGATGAGCGTTTATTCCGATCCTGCCGGCAGCGCGGGAGAGCCGGGGGTCACCCACAAAACCTGCTCTGCACCCCCCGTAAGCCGGCTGCTTATTTGGTAGAAGGTCTCAGATTACGTGGGAAGGAGGCAAAAGGGCAAAGAGCAGTTTACCGGTAAGGCGGCTCGGAGACTGGCAAAGGCCTGTGGGTGTGCAAAGGCCCGGGGCCTTCAAAGGGCTGGCGGCTCTGGTTTCTGCTACAGGCTGTTCATCCTTCCACGGTCACAGCAGCTCCCCGACGGGGAGGACGGGCCGCACTCCCAGGTGAGCCCTCGGGTCCTGGGTGCAGCCGCCAGCCAGGGGAGCCGGCGCCGTCTCTCCTCGGAACAAAGCCGTCACAGTGAACGGTGTGGCCAACGTTCCTGACGGTTCCAGCTGGTCCCCGCATTCTGTCTCTGCCCCGTCACATCCACGCTGGCTCAGCGTGTCGGCCCTCGGGTTCTTAGAGGCTGGTGTTTGTCACTGAACTCATCTCTCGCCCCATTTTGCTTTGTCTCACCTGCGGCTTTGCCCAGAGGAGCGGCGGGACCCTCGCCCCCTGGTCCTCAGAGTCAGAGGTTGGTGTGCTCCAGGGCACCCCTCCCCTGCCCCCTGGCTTCGCACCACCCGCCTGCAGGGCGCCGGCCCCTCTGGATCGGCCGGGCTGTTACAGAAGCTACTTGGCTGTACTGTCCACAAAGCCTGGGAAAGACTTTGCAAATCCCAGCTGAAATGGACACCCGGGGCCCGGGGCCGTGTTGCGCAGCTGTGCCCCAGGCCTCGGGGACTCTCAGGCTGAGAGCCTGCACCCCGGGTGCCTGAGGAGGGTGGTGTTTCCTTCTCGCCCCGGTGTCCGCGTTCTTGGCGCATTTGATCTTCCCACGCCTTCTTGGAGGGCTCGCCACACCTGCCCGCGACGGGCCCACTTGACCTGTGGTTAACCTCGTCCCACGGGAGGCGGCCGCTGGGCGCTCCTTGGGGTGCCGGCTGCTGTGCTCCGAGTTTCCGTCCTCGTCTAGCAGGGCGAGGGCGTGGGGCTGCCCGAGCGATCCGTCTGGAATGTTTGTGTTGTTCCGGGAGCGGCCTCAAGCTCACTGACCTGTGGTTTCCGGAATCATCTGGGCTTTTTCTCTGCTTTCGTCAGTGCACAAGCGGTTGGCGCGGATGCGGGACTCCTGCCCCGTCCCGTCCCGGGGCTCCTGACCGTGACCGGCAGCCTCGTCGGAGGGCGGGAAGGCTGCTGCCTCTGGGGGAGGGGGGGGGGTTCCCTGGCCACCCTCCTTTCTCTTCCTGCTGCCCCTCCACTGCCGCGCCCCCTTGTCCCCGGCCCCCGCCCACGGTCAGTGGCGAGGGGACCTGCCTGCCCCTCCCCTGGTCTCGGCCGCACCTTCAGGTAACCGCCGCCAGCCCTCGGGCGCCACCCCGTCCCAGACCCGCTCTGCGGTTTTCCTCCCTTTACTCCTCTCAGGAGTCATCTGGGCTGAACCTCGGGGGCCCCCATCCTGCAGAGTCATGAGAACCCCTGACCTTGCAATCACCCCTCTTTCCTCCAAACACTTGCCATCTGCCTTCCCACAGCGTCACGCAGGGCCCGGCTGTCCCCACACCCGTCCCTCCCACAGTGAACGCCAGCCTCCTGTGCCCCGGGCCAGGTCCTAGCAGGCCGGTGCCTCCGCGGCCGCATCTGTGCAATGGGAGGAGTCAGAGGTGCGCAGAGCAGCGAGCCCTGCGTGTATGCCAGGCCTTGTTGCTGCCCTCAGATCGCAGTAAAACCACAGCGCCGAGTGTTCCTAACGGGTTACCAGGGGTGGGCAAACTTTTTGACTCGAGGGCCACAATGGGTTCTTAAACTGGACCGGAGGGCCGGAACAAAAGCATGGATGGAGTGTTTGTGTGAACTAATATAAATTCAAAGTAAACATCATTACATAAAAGGGTACGGTCTTTTTTTTTTAGTTTTATTCATTTCAAACGGGCGGGATCCTGCCCGTGGGCCGTAGTTTGCTCACGGCTGGGTTAGACCATCAAGCTTGGTAAGGAGCCACGTAACTTGATCAAAAAACAATTTCTCAAGTATTTGGGGTCGATAAATGATCGCCCATTAACTAACGAAAAGCAACATTTTCTACAAGAAAAGGGGAAGGATGACCTGTTGAAAGGGGCGTTGGTCACACACCACTCGAGGTTTGTTCAGACGGGATGGCCTCGTTAAAGCTCGCCACCGTTTTCCCTGCGCGCTTTGTAAGGTCTCCCCTGCTTCTCCGGGAGGAAAGGGGGGTTCGGAGGGTGAGCTGACGCCCCAACGTCGCTCCCTCCGCTGGTCAGTGGCAAAGCCCAGGCCGCCTGCCCTGTGCTTCCCCCCGCAGGCCAGTTCCCGGGGTGGCACAGGCGCCGTCCCTGTCCCTGCCCTGTCCCTGTGGATGGAACAGAGACAGCGGGTCCTGCGCCGTGGTGGGCGGAGCTGAGCTGTGCAGGGCGTGGGGGGGGGGCTGGGCGCCCGGAGCCCCGGGCCTTCGGGAAGCAGGTCCTCTCGCCCTCTTCGCCCTCGGGGTCCTCGCCACGGCTGTGGTGTGTGTCTGAGTGGGGCTCCGGCCCGGCGAGAAGAGGTTTTTCCAGAGCAGGGGCTCCCTGCCACTGCGAGGGGGCGAGGGGGCGAGGGGATCGAGTTCTGGCTTGGGGTGTGTGTGTGTGTGTGTGCGTGTGTGTGCGCGCGCCCCGTGGCTGAAACCAAGCTCGGAAAAGGACGCCGGGTCCTCAAACAGCTGCTGGATTTCTCCCCCCCACCCCCCCCTCCGTTGGGATGAATGGGTGGGCCCTGCTCCCGGGTGTGCTGGGATCCAGTGGTGGGGACAGTGTCAGGTGGCCGTGGGGACAGTGTTAGGGTGGCCGTGAGGACAGTGTTAGGGTGGCCGTGGGGACAGTGTTAGGGTGGCCGTGGGGACAGTGTTAGGGTGGCCGTGGGGACAGTGTTAGGTGGCCGTGGGGACAGTGTGAGGTGGCCATGGGGACAGTGTTAGGGTGGCCGTGGGAATAGTGTTAGGGTGGCCGTGGGAATAGTGTTAGGGTGGCCGTGGGGACAGTGTTAGGGTGGCCGTGGGGACAGTGTTAGGGTGGCCATGGGGACAGTGTTAGGTGGCAATGGGGACAGTGTTAGGGTGGCCGTGGGAATAGTGTTAGGGTGGCCGT